TTAACTGAATTGCTAATGTTAATAATTCGCTATGTTATATTTTTATTGAAATTTCCGCAATCAATGCAGCGCATTTTAATTAGTATTGCTATACATAAAAATATTTATTAAACCAATAAATATATTAGTTAAATACTAAATATGTAGGTAGATATTACACAGTCTTGTTACTGCCGCTGTCCTCATTTTCATCTGAGCGTATTACAAGAAAATTAAGTTTAACTCCATCAAACAAATAACAACTTAATTAAGACACTTCTTTTACATTAAAATGATGGAATTACCATCGGAAGTAATTTAAACTTGCTCATTTGTTGGACTGGGAGCTGTCAAACTTGTTCAAGAGTGCTTTTAAAACACAACACAGTTTGTCATTATCGATCTTGTGAATTTGAGCTCGACTAGGCGTTATTATAGATGGATTTTTATTAGACTTTATAATTAAAGTATATTAATGTAGATATAAGATATTTACATGTGTTTTTGTGTGTAGTAGTGCTAGTAACTTGGGTACATTGCCCCGATGTGGCGCGTTGGAGGATTATATGATATAAACAAATTGTAATAAATTAGTAAATATTTAAAATATTTACACTGCCATTTTGTACTGTTGACCTTAGACTTCTCCCGTACACTACTATAAGTGACGGTCGTGAGCCACCTATGATCACTGACTCCCTGTACCATATTTGAAAGCCATTGCTTCATTTAGTCGAGATCACCTTACACTATGTTTGTTTGTACGAGATAGTCATTCGAAAACATTTCTTCTTCCTTGACTATCAATTATTATATCATTACTTAAATGGTCGGCCTATTAACACTTCAGTTTGCTGATCTATCAAGCTATATCGATAACTTAGGTTCATTTGCGCGTAACAATGTCATCTTAATTTCGATAAAACGAAAATATTCTATACACAAAAAATACTGACGAATCAGGAACTTCATTCTTTTGAATTCGTCTGAAAATGAGTTAATTATTTAATGATATAATCGCGTGTGCAAAAAACTGCCTAATTTAAATTACATTTTACTTTATATTTTACAGGTAAATTTAATAAGCAAATGGAATAAAATGGCATAATATATTTTTTTCTAAAACAACTCGGTTTGGGGAATAAACAGAACGATAAATATTCATGAGGGTAGTAAGCCTTCTTGTCATAGGCCTTGAGAGCCTGATGGATGGCGCATCGTGCTGCCATATTTACTATACCTATAGTGAAAACTATTATTTTACCTAAAGTCAGAGATTACACTTGTGTACATTGAAACATATTACAACGAAATACTAGAGATCAGATGGAAAAACTTGCGATAATTATCTAATAGATATTTTTCCAATAAAATTTTGTTCTTTTACTGCCTTCTACGGCTGATAAGTAATTTACCTAGCTAGTTATGATTAAGTGGTAGCTGTTACTTAAAGATTTATAGAATAATTTTCATTATCATCATATTTGGAATAGCAAGTATTTTATTCCATTTAAGAATGAAAGAATATAGTATAAATTTTGTATAATTTCTTAATTAATAAATCTTGTATCCATTCCACAAGTGCAAATTAATACTTTTATTTTTACGCATCTAGGCTTCGAGTTCTATATACGAATATATTTTTAGATATAAAATAAAATTTTAATGAATTATAAGAATGTTCTAAAGCAATGAATTTGATGAATATTGTGAAGGCAAATAATGTTATTGACTTTGCAAATAAAGATAACATTAAGATGTTTACACGCTTCATTATCACAGGAAAGTCGGGAAAAGAAAAAGAAACGCACACATTTATCGGATTACGTTGCGTTACGCAAAACAGATAAAGGCAGAATACGTACGAAATACAGTATGGGAGATTTCCGATAATATTTCCCTCATAACGGAACGGAAACGTCTGTCTATACCTAGAAATATTGCAGAGTATACATGAAGCTAAGAACGCAGTATTTTCGGCACATTTATCTTGGTCCCTCGCCACAAAATAATGAGTTAAACGCTTAACATAAACCACACACTGCACTAAGGATCGAAGGGAATATTACTCGTATCTATATAAGGAAACCCAGGAGAGTTGAAACTGAAGTAAATTAAAAATCAAATAATAATAATTTATAAAGTCGTGGATACAACTAGTCTTTACCCGCGTCTTCTTCTAAGTTACTGGGATAAATTAATTAACCGGAATAAAAGTAGTCTAAATCTCTCTAACTAAAATAATACTGATAATCTAAATTTTGCATATACGCCAAATTTTGGTAACTACTATAGATTGTATCGTCAAAACGTCAAAATGTAATGAGCACACTTACATTCACATGAGAAGTAAGTATAAAATTCTATAATTTACCTATGAATAATCCACTTTTAGGCAAATTACTAATTATTTTTCGATTTTATTCATCAAATTTGTAATATTAAAATAATATTTTTCGTCTCTGATGTATCAAATTGTGCGTTAAACTTGTGGACCGAAATTTTTTCAGCAAAATAACCCTAAAAGAAAATATTACGAGGCTGGCTATTAGAAAGGGGTGTGCAAGTACATAAGCCTCCAATAATAAAGTATAAATGATGAGGGCAGAGAAGGGTGGTTCGCGAGACGAGTGATCCATCGCGGGCCCACAAAGATTTATGATAAGATCCGAACTTACGGATGTCGCCACCCACCGCGCGACTCTACGCCAAAGATTCCCTGCTGTGCGTGGTTAGGTTTATTTCTATGTAATTTCTGATAACTATAATTTATCAGTTACTATTATCATCGTGATATGAATGTAGCAAATTAGTAACGTAGTTTAGAATGTGAAATATTATAAGCGAATTAAGGTATGATTACTATATGTTATTATTCTTCCTAATATTGTAAATGTGAAAGCGAGTTTGTTTAGTTATTACTTCTTAGACTACTTAATACTAATCGTTATAAAATTTGATACACAGAAACTATTTTAGGATGGAGAAGGAAATAGGCTACTTTTTATTCCTGTCAATCAACGTTTCTTGGTCATGCGGACAAAGTAGCAAATAAAAACACTAGCTTTCAATTATTAAATTAATAAATACAATAGTAGAGACTAGCTGTGTGGCTCACTTAGCTGTTCGGTTCCGGCATAGAGTAGGCCATCCCTTCTTATTCCGTGAGTGTCATAAGAGTCGACTAAGGAGGGCGAGGAATGGGGAGCAGCGTTCCTCTTAAAACATCTTTAAAGCCTAACTGCGGTTGCCAATTCGCCTGCCAAGCATGGCGACTACTGGTAAAACCTCCCAAGGAGAGGCTTATGTTCAGCAGTGGACAGTTAAACGCTGATATGATAAATAGCAGAGATTATATCATATTAATATTAAAATATAATTCAGGATAATCGTATCACAAATTTATTTCTTCGTATTACAATTTTTATGGACTGCGGTGGTCTCATACCATGAAGTGGACTGTGCGTTTTTTTATATAATAAGTATATTTTGATAGTAAAAAAATAAATACAATAGTACTTACTTTAACTAGTAATATCAAATATTATGGATTTCCAAACTCTGTTTACCATAACGAATACTCCATACGGTGTGTGAATATAGGCTGACGGGCCCGAACAATGCTTCCAATCCGACTGCACAGATAAACTTAGAAATAGTTTCATTTTCAACAAATGATTTTAAACTTAACTTAAAGGCATTAAAGTTCAAAGTCCAATAACTTATAGTCTGTCGAAGTAACTACCTCTGAATAATCATTCATGTAAATGGCATACCACGGAACCGACATAACGTAGTTTGCCCTCGATATAGGAGGGAAGTCAGGATGAATGGATTAACCAGGCCCCGCATTGTTAATGTGTTTTATAAAATACATATTCCAAGACATTTGATATTGTTAGCTTTATCCTCACTAATATTTATAAATTTCAAACTGAGTTCGTTTATTTCTTCTTGGCACCTTCACGGATATTTATTTTTATAACACAGAGTCGAACAAGCATGTTTGGTTTATTCAACTTAGAATGGCAAACAAGTTGACGGCCCACCTGATAGAAAGTGGTAACCGTCGCCTATAGACATGAGCAGTACTATGGACATAACAGAGTATACTGTTTCGCCCATAATACCTCCCATGCGTTGCCATTCCTGAGGACTCAGGTGTTATTCCTCTGTACCCAGTAAATTCACGCCATATCCCACCCTTTAAACCGAAACACAGTCATGCAAACACAACTGCTTCACGGTTGAAACACGAATGGGACAGAGGTGCCTAAGCAATCGACTTTTGTACAAAGTCTTCCTCTGGTAATGTGAAGTGTAAAGTTAGCATGCGGCTCACCTGATGGTTTGTGACTACCGCCGCTCATGATCACTCACAACTCCAGTGGCATTGAAAGTGACATTGGCATTGTAGGTATGTTAGCGGGTTTTTAAAAAGAATATGGTTTTTCTTGAAGGTTATGATATCGTATCGGTTGGGAAATACTGCTGGTGGAAGTTGATTGCAAAGAGTAGTTGTGCGTGGAATAAAGTGCCTTGAAAACGTACGATGAAAGACTGCTACTCATGGTTGGAATGGAATGATACTGGATGGTATTGATATCAATGAAATAAAAGTAAAACTTCGGCTGTGGCAAAAAATATATTTGGTTGACGATATTTTAACACAAATTTAGCATTTATCTCACTTGATATTTTGACTAATTCGAATAAATAATAAAGTGATATTACTGAAATTACGCTACAAAAAGTAGAAAATGAAGTCTCTTTTATTTTTATAATTTAATTGTTTAATATACTTTATAATTTACTACTGTGTAATTTTTTTATGGAGCTTCATATTCATAGCTTAATATTATTTAGATTCTATTGATAATTATTGTCTATACTCTAAAATCTTATACAATAATTTATTGTTACTGCAGAGAACCAAACGATGTAATTAGTTTTATATAAACCGTGAAGGTCATCTTAAGTGAAGGCCAATCTGATTATCTGTAAACGAAGAGTGTGGACATTCATTTATTCGATTAGTTACTATCAGAGTGCAGGCCGCGATGGATTTCAATAATAAAGTTGTTATTATAACCGGTGCCAGTTCTGGGATTGGTGCAGCTGCAGCATTGTTATTTGCAAGTCAGTCCGCAAAAGTTGTTCTCGTTGGTCGAAATGAAGCAGCCTTGAAAGATGTTGCAGATAAATGTATGAAATCTAAAGGAATCAAACCATTGGTAGTCAAAGCTGAACTGAGTAAGGATGACGATGTGAAGAACATAATTACTCAAACAATAAATGTTTATGGACGTATTGACGTGCTGGTGAACAACGCAGGAGTTGGAGTACAGGGTTCGATACGTGATGGTATTGAACCTTACGATCGTGTCATGGGAATAAATGTTCGACCTGTTTACTATTTGATTAGCCTTGCTACTCCTTATCTCGTAAAAACTAAAGGGAATATAGTGAATGTTTCAAGTGTGGCTGCATTTAAACCTATAAAAGATATGAATTTTTTACCGTACTGCACATCCAAAGCTGCCTTGGATCAAATTACAAGATGTGTTGCCGCGGAACTCGCTCGAGATGGTGTCAGAGTGAATTCAGTCAATCCTGGAGCAACCAAGACACCATTCGTGCAAGCTGCTGGTTTGACAAAAGAACAAATGGATGACCTGTATAAAGTTCGTGAAAAGACTCTCCCTCTTGGTAAAATGGCGGAAAGTGAAGATGTTGCCGATTTGATTTTTTACCTTGCTAGCGATCGAGCAAGGAGTATCACAGGTTCTATTTTCGTCATTGATAATGGAGAAATTTTACAGTGAAAATCTTATTATTACTTGAATTTCATTTATTACAAAAATATGTGTATCAAATTTTGTAATAGAAAGTATAATTATGTTTAAAATTATAAATTGTCTTTCATAGTATGAAAATTATTTTGAAAAAAGACATTTATATTTTGAAAATAGACTAGGTATAATAGCGCTTAATACAATATGAATTTACGGTATATTAAAAATATAACCCATTCCTTAAAAGTGGTATTAGTATTCATTAATAGAGACTCAAAAAAATATTGTAATCCTAAAAAAATAATATTATCAAGAGTTAAAAGTAAAAATGACACTACATAATAATAAATATGTAAAATATCTTGCTACAAAATATGTTTTTCAAGAAAAAAAAAAATGATATCCTATAAATGAATACCAACATTACTTTTAAAGAATAGGGTAATTAATTTATTTTGTTTAAGTCAATGTTATTTATTTATAAGTGTAATAATTTAATTTTAGAGTTTATATTTGATACAAATTATTACTATATATGCAATAATGCAATAGGGTAATTTAAATAGAATACTGTATATAATTATTATAGTAAAATGTATGATAACCTAATTAATGTATGTAAGTATAATCATAAATAAAAAGTGTCTATATAATTACTCTCATACTATCACGAAACCATTTTAAACAATAAATATATCATTCTAAGATAACATTAGATAAAAATATATATACAGATAAAGTTGCATTTATATGGACAAGAAAATATACAACAAATGGAGCATGTTAACAATTATAATACAATAATTCCAACTTCTGTCCAGCTATATATAAATTTAGCGTACCTAATAGACTTATAAAAAGAACAAGAACATACGAGTATAAAGGCTTTACATGCTAACATAAACAGGTCAGTTAGCTTTACTAATACAGTTCGTGTTCTCTGAGCCATTAGTTTTCATTTCCCTTGTAGTGAATAGTGAACAGTGCAAAGCAAAACTTATGGCAGACGCAAATGAGAAATAGGTAGGTACTATACTATGTTTAAGCAATATTATGTGAGGTATTAAAAATAAGATTATGGGTTATCTAAAATATAAACTAATAATAAAATTGTAATTAGATGGTATCGGTACATGGAAAGTAATTGGAATAATTGATATGATAAATAAAAAATAAAAACAGAAACCAAATCTTTTTCTTTTGATTAATCTGTTTTTAATCTGTATCTAAATCAACAAAAACTAATACGCCAAATTACACGTGAACAGTTGTGTTCCTGAAGGTGTAACTTTAATTCTGGTGTATTTTGTATGTGGACACGTCACCTCACCACCAGAGGGAGACTTTGTACAAAAGCCATTTGCTTAGGTACCTCTGTATCATTCGTGTTTCTACCATGAAGCGGTTGTGTTTGCATAGGTGTGTTTCGGTTTGAAGGGTGGGATATGGTATTGAGTTTACAGAGTACAGAGGCATAACCACCTTATTCCTCAAGAATGGCACGGCGTGGAGGATATCATGGACATAACAGCATACTCTGTAAATCCATGGTACTATTCATGTCTAAAGGCGAAAGGTTACCGCTTTCATTAGGTGGGTCGTCAGCTTGTTTGCCATTCCAAGTTGCATAAAGAAAATCTAAAATGTGTTATAAAAAAAAAGTAAGTAATACTTACTTTTTTTTTATAACACAGGGAGCAAATGAGCATGCAACTCACTTGATGGTAAGTGACTACCGCCGCCCATGATCATCCACAACACCAGCGGCATTGCAGGTGTGCTGCCGGCCTTATACTTTCAAAATTCACGCGTACAAAGTTAAGGACAAAAGTTAATGTTATATACAATAGTTATGACATAATAGTCTAAACAAACGTATCTAACGATACCAAATTTATCAAAATTAATCTTATCATTTTGGCTTTCAGTTACACCAAAGATTCTGATACATTTAATAATTACTTTTAGTACATAGATATATAAAAAATAATTCCTTTATTCTATTTTCTACAATCAAGTAATAATAAAGAAATGGAACAATAATCAAAACGTAATTAAAGAGGTTTAGTGTGCTTAGGTCTGACAATAGTTTGAACCTTGGCACTGATTGGATGATATTAGGGATTTGCAAACACACGTGATCTGAGTGGTTGTTTGTTCATCCTCTCTTGAATAGAGGGTGCCGAGCCCCTTTCAGGGCTTGATGAAACCCAAACTGTGTCACGGTTAGTATACTACCGAAATTTGGTCGTGTTTGTAGTAACAAATGAACTGCCTTGTGCCGAGTTAATAAAGTTTCAGATGCGGCGCTTCTGTTGACAGGACTAAAAGCGACCTACATATCGTGAACATTTTTATAAAATTTCGAAGTCGAACGTAACAAGAACTTATTATAAATAATGAAAGAAATGTTGTCAAAATGGAATAAATTCAATAATTCGAATACTTTATCATGGAATTTATGAGTAATAAAACATCAGTCTTCGATTTGATGTGAGCGCGTTTCATTATACGCAACAAAAGATATTCGGATTTAAACTTCAGAAACTTTATTTTATGAATGACCTAAGGATAGACAAATTAAATATCGAATTTATACAACAACTATTACCCGCAACTTTTCATGCGTCTTTTTGTGTTACCCCTTTGAGTTAAAATTTTGAAAATACTTTTTTAGATGGATAAATAAATAATTTATTTGTACTACTTATAGCATACAAATAACAACAAATACAGACAGCCATGCATAAATAGAAAGAAAAATTACGGAAAAAAGAAAAATACGAAAAAGTATTATCGTTTTTTATCATTGTATATGCTACATACAATAAAAGCCCGCTACTAAAACGCGCACTATTTATTGCTTTACCCTAAAAAGGGCAAAACACTGATTTACAATAAACTCTTAGATTTTCGCGTTGCATGTTTTATGTTTTATAAGTGACAGAAATGAACACGATCGTGTAGGTAAACTATAATAATTTCATATTTATTAACGTCTACTTATGACGATGGTGATAACCTGACCATAATATGACTCTAACCTGGTCGAAACGTTCAGATAATTCAGGTACATTATCATAGTTAACTAAATAATCGCATCGGTTGACTTTCTGTTGTGGCCAAAAACCAGCCACAAAAATTATTGGCAAAAAATAATATGTGCATTCATTATAATTATGTAATATTAACAAACAAAATATTAACAAAATATAAATAAAATATGTATACTAAATTAATAAATAACAGAATAATAATGATATTTGGGAACAGTTAAAACAGAGATAAATCAGAAGTCATTCTCGATCATATTTAAACATTCAAACGATATGAGTAAATAATTTCGGTACGTACCTACTTTTTTTAATTGGGTGAGAATGAAACGATAACCCCGCCTGCACTATCGGTATACGCAAGCGGAACCTCAGTGAGAGATAATAGGTGAGAATGAAAGCAGTTTAGTTAGTTTCCAGGGGAACCGCGTGGAGGTCGACCTGTTAGAGTATATTGCTAGCGATGGGGCTATTAGACTCCATCATTAGCAATCCTTTTCTCCCCGCTTCATACCCATTAGGTATGCCAAAGGTACTTTCCATAAAGTCGATCGTCAGCTTGTTTGCCATTCTGTATTGCATAAAGACGGTTACTGAAAACGGTTCATTATGGAAATCAATTATCATGAATTTTGGAAAATCCTTTGCATAGTGAACAGGCCACTTTTTATCCCAGTAAATATGTCTTTATTGAGCGGATGAAGTCACAGTCACAAGTGGTCACCGACAGCAGTGTAATAAATCCTTTATTGCATCTGATTTTCCTCAGTAACTTGTTCCTTAAACAATATCGAAATCGAAGAATGAAACCACTTGTTACTATGTCACTATGCACTACTTATCTTTGTGAAGTAACACCAATTTAGATGTGCAGTGCAGATAAATTTTATCTTCGAAATGTATGAGCATTATACCTAATCTTTACTGGTAAGGGGAAAAGGGATTGTTAGTAAAATGGATTACTTACCCTATTACTACTAGCAATATACTCAAGTCGACCTCCTCGCGGTTTCCCCTGGAAACCATCGTGATTAATTCTTGTTGGATTCTTCACGATGGGCCAACTGCCCTGCCGTCATCCTCACCAATCATATATCACTGGTACCCCGCCAGTATATACCGATAGCGCAGGCGAGTATACCATTCCATTATCATCTATTAAAAAAATCTTTACTGGTATGAAATAGTAAGTTTGTTGGTTCGACTCTTGACACCTTAACAACTTAACCAGTTATCATAAAATTTCGTGCATATGGTGTAAGTATATTTATTAGGACAGGGAAAATAAATTCTTGAGTGACGACCTCGTATGGGTAAACGCAGTGTAGGATGACCCACCACTAGATGAAATGACGACCTCAAATGCATTGCAGGGAATCAGTGGATGCAAGTGGCTCAAGACCGTTTCTTATGACTGTCTATGGGGAAGGTTTATGTTCAGCCGTATAGATAATGGGTGAGATGATGACGATGATGTAGTAGACATTCAGGATATAGACTACATTTGATCCTGGTCATTCAACATAATATTTCAACCATGAAAACAAAGTCGCTTAATAAAGCAAGTAAGTCTCACAAGTTTATTATTTCTTTTACCACTACATTTATGAAATTGGAAGACATAAATTTGCACCGGGTATTTTATAAAATTCAATCGCGATTGTGATTTTGATGATAAGATACTACATGTATTATTGCTAGTTTAAAAAATGTTTTATAGGTGTGGATCGTGATAACGTCATCAAAACCATGATAAATAGCTTCAGTAGTAGCAACATTTTATTTATCAAGCAACTTGCAAAAGGAGAAGGCTAGTTCTCAATTCAACTGTATTTTGGGATTAAAACTGCCGTTTCCTTTGCAAAGGACAATCCTGCTTATTGTGGAATAGAATATATTTGTTGACATACGATTCCATGGTTCTTAATTTAAATACTAAAGTATTTGTATTATAGTAATACTAATATACTCAAAATATAATGTTATTTATTAAACTTATCTATTTATATTGTTGTCGTTCTTTTATTTCTAAATTATAATAGTAAAATTATTAAATTATTCATTACGATTATGAAAGAATGAGGTTCCTAAATTCAGTTGATCTTTGTTTGTTTTCTCATAACTCCTTTGTTTATAAATCGATTTATAAAACTCTTTAATTATCTGAAAGGATATACTAGATTGGTTCCATAGAAATTTTATAAAAATCGATTCAGGTCGTTTGGTTTTTAAATAAAAATAACTGATTTTGCTACAATTGACATAGACATTTTTTATTTTGTGAAACAAAATTAAGATTGTGTTCCACAAAAAAGAAAACAGATTACAAGATTAAGATATTTTTGTTTATTTTTCTTGATAGTGAAATAAAAAAATATATTCGGTTCTGACCTTATGATACGAAACCGACAAAGCGAAGTCTATTTGTCAGACTTTCCGACAATGTCAAATACTTCAGCTGACCCAACCAAGGTCATTTGTCAAATGCTATTATTAAGATCTCATTTCATATTCAGTTTACATTTCCAGCTTTTGGAGAAAACTTCTACGCTACGTCGATAGTAACAGCGATAGGCAAATATCTACCCCAAATCATGACCTAATATCGTTCAATTTATCACCGACAGCCTTTTGTGTCTGCGCCATCAATCTTGCGCTTCCTTCGCACTCAACACTCCAACTAATTATTGTCGATCGTGTCTTGAGTTTGCTTGTGGGTTTTAACATATTTTTGGACAGAATGTCTTGTACTAGTGGTAAGTATAGGTATAATACTATAAGAGTATATTTAAAATTGTTATTGACGAATATATAAACGATATTTAAAAAACATTGCATTATTACTGTAGCCCATGACTGTATATTTTTATGTGCAATAAATTTTTATTATTATTCATCATCATCATTTAAGGCATTATCCGTCCACTGCTGGACATAAGCCTCCCCCATAGACTGCCATAAAGAACGACCCTGAGCCATTGACTCCCTGCAATGCATTTCAGGTCGTCACTCCATCTAGTGGGGAGTCGTCCTAGACTACGGTTACTCGTACGCGGTCGCCACTCAAGAACCATTTTTCCCCATCGGTTGTTGATTCTTTGAGGTATGTGACCGGCCCATTGCCACTTCAGCTTGCTTATCCTTCGGGCTATGTCGGTTATTTCGGTTCTTTTGCGGATGTCCTCGTTTCGGATTCTATCACGTAAAGAGACTCTGAGCATAGCCCTCTTCACAGCATGCTGAGTAACTTGTAGCTTTTGCATACGGGCAATCGCGTATGATTACATTTAAGTTCCGTAAGTCATCACTGGCAACACGCACTGGTTCAAGACCTTCGTCTTTAAATTCTAAGGTATTTTGGATGAAAAGATATGGCGTAGTTTCCCGAACGCTGCCTAGCCGAGTTGCATTTATCGGTTGACCTCTGGGTCGAAGTTGGACTTACCCATTCGGACAACTTGTTCCAGGTATACATACTCATCGACAACTTTGAGCGTAGTGTTCTCAATCGTAACCAGTATAGGTGTGACATGGATGTTAGACATGATTTTAGTCTTGTCCATGTTTATCTTAAGACCTATATCTGTTAAGAAACACCATATTATATTTACTATTATTATTATAAAGATCTATAAGCGTAATAGACAATATAAGAGATCCCTCATCTTATCCAGAGTTTTTAGGCCATCGTCGTTATACATAAATGCCTCTGATTGGAGAGAAGGGGATTGTTAGTAATGGAGTTTGACAGCCCCATTGTTAGCAATTTGCCCTATTAGGTCGACCTCCACGTGGTTCTCCCTGGAAACCATCGTGAACAATTCTTATTGAATTCGTAACTGACCGCCTTCATCTTCACCTATCATCCTTCACTGGTGCCCCGCCGGTGAATACCGTTAGCGCGGGTGGGGTAACCATTCCATTATCACCCATTAAAAAAAATGCCTCTGATATAGCATATTGAACGATGGTTTACGTTTCCTTCAAAATACAAGATTATGAATAATTTATAAATTTCCTAAATATGAAATTTTAAATTCAGATGTTTAGGCTGCGATTCGATCTGGTGATCTCCAAACCGTAATAAAGCCTTAATCGACTGAATTGTTACTGTTCAATGACGAAATAAAAATCTTGTCTAATATACACATCATACATGTTGGTAGTGGTTGACACGGGGCTTGAAATTGTCGACGAATATGTAAATCTAGGGTCAACATAACAGATAATTTCGACTTCAACCGAGAAACCTGATGGTAAATCATGTCGGACAATGTTTGGAAAACTTGTGCCGCGTCTTCGTATTTACTTTCCAGAAAAACCAAACCGAGTGATGTAGGTTAAAATATTAGTAATCTGAAGTGGCAATGGGCCAGTAAGATAGAAGTATATAAATTATGTTATTTCTATATAGATAATATTTAGACCCTATGAGTATGAAAGATTTCTAAATGCCAATTTCGTACGGACAAACGCAATATAGAATAATTCACACCTATAGTTATATCTGTAGTTATAGTAAATTGATACGGGTAATTCACGATTTAACAGTCGTGAGTTACTCTATAAGCTATTACAGGATTACCTTTTTAGTTCAGTAGCGTTCACTGCTGTTAGGTCTATAATAGTTCAATTATTATAGTAACACCTTATTAAGCAATTCTTACCTATTTTTTGTTACTACAGATTCTAGTTGAAAAGTTTGGACATAAATGTCGTCGGCCGTAGGAATTAGAGTTCGGTTGTTTTTTATATTTATAACCAGTAAACGAAACCAATAAGTAAATATACCTATTATTTCGTATATTCGTATATATTTTGTTATTCACTTTTGTACCAAAAATGTCGGCGTTAGCACTTACAGGCGCAAATAAAAATTGAAAAATCCGCGCGCCACAAATCCCTCGGGGGCCGACACTCGCACGTTCCTAGCGCTCTTGTCACCCTCCCCAAAGGAAACAATGTTATTATTTAATCACATATTTACTAAAGAATAACCATTAAAAAAATAACGCATTTTTATAAAAATACTATTAATATATACTAGTAATAATGAAACACTCGACACGCTGAAAAAGCTAAATGGGAATGATTGCACTATATTTTTTAATTGACATATATTCGTACAATATTTCTTAACTCATTTGAAAAAATAAGTTGTTTTTGATGAATTTAATTTTTGTTTTAAATCCAATACTTATTACAAGTAAACTGGCTATAAATGTAGCTTCTTTCTCATATTTAATTTTTATATAATATTTATTTATAATAAATATTTAATATTATATCATTCTTTGAAGAGAACCATAGTTTTCATTCATTCAATCATACTAGCTTCATACCCGCAACGTACGTAGATTTCAGAAATAAAAAAAAACAATGAAATATATTATTTTTAGATGGTATATTGAAAAAAAACATACACCAATTTTTAAGTTAGACCTTCAAAAATATAACTCTAAACCGCATTCAGTTTGATGCACTTACTATGTGACGCCAGAACCAACATACAGACAGACAGACAAAATATCTAAAAAATATTGTTTTGATATCTATTACTAAATATATTATATTTATCATCATCATATCAACCTTTAACTGTTTACTAATGAATAAAAGCCTCCGCCTTGGGGCGTTTTGGCAGCGTTTGGCAACGCTTGGCAGGCGGATTGGCAACCGCAATCAGGCTTTAGAGATGTTTTAAAAGGGACGCTGTTGCCCATCCCTTGCCCTCCCTTAGTCGACTTTTACGACACCTACGGGAAAGGAAAGGGTGGTCTATTCTATGCCGGAACCACAGCTGCATTGCTCATATTAAGATTTCTTAAATACTTTTTCTTAAATATCTACAATGAATAGATATTAAGAATTAAAATTTTATTATATATTATTAGTAAGATAATAACAACTTTTATAAAAGAACATGAGTACAAATCTAAAACAGATGCATGTATAAATATATAACAAGAAAATTAACAATTTGATAACGTAAATAATGTTTCAAATAAAATTAAACACAAGTTGTTGGGAGGGATAGCCCATGAAAATTTATACGAAACACTCAACTGGCACACGTTTTGCGAAGGGTGAAATTGGACTCCCAAAACTACAATTTCATTTACAACTCGTATTCGAGCAAGCACATAATGTCGGTTCGGGCTACCGTACTTCCCTCAAACAGGCAAAACTTCATTCTGCCCACTCATTCATTATCATTGTCTGACATATTGTGAGAGTCTCTACAATATTGCAATTATTGAATTAAAAAAAAAATACTAGTTACTTAAATTTGACGTTATAGATTATTTTTTTCATTCGTTTATTTTCGTCCTGCATTCTTTCAAATTTAAAATTAACAATATATTTTTCATTACTTATTATATTGAGCTTACATACCTACTTGCTTATTAAGTTGCCCAATGATGACGAAGATGATATGAACATAAAAACTTTTAACATATTTTAAGGGTGTGTTCCACAAAAAAACTCCGAATTCAATTATGATAAAACCAGTTATTTTGACTAAACTACTGAACAGATTATGAAAAAAAATTCTACGGGGCCAATTTGTAAGTAAAGATATATTTACAAAAAATTTTTCAGATAAAAAAATAATTTTCCAAATCGGTTGATAACTGATAGAGTTATGAGGTAATAAACACAAAAAATACAACCGAATTGAGAACCTCTTTCTCTTTAAAGTCGGTTGAAAACAATATATTGCAATTGCAGATGGTTCGTTAGAATTATCACAATGTGATTAAATCTTGTACCTTTGAAATTGGTCACAAGATTCAGTTATAAATGATATTTTTACATTAATGTCGGTATATAGCTACGAGTATATAGAAACATCAAAACGTTATATAAAATGGTTGTAATAAATTCCTTACAACCCTTTCATAAACTTTTATTGTTTCTTAATCCGTGTGGCGACAAAATATAATGCCACCGTTCCTTTCTTCCCCATAATCTAGTAAAGGGACTAAAGCAATAAAATGCCGTAAGTATACTTTGATCGTAGGGAGTCAGTGGATGCAGGTGGCTTACGACCGTTCCTTGTGGCAGTCTATGGGGGCGGCCTATGATCAGTAGTGGACAGATAATGGCTGAGATGATGATGATACTTTGATACTTTAATGTGAATAAGAGAAAATCAAACCTCTGCACCAAGATATTTCTTCAGCACGATAATAGTCATATAGTCCTTTTCATGAAGACACGTGTTCAGCAGAGAGACGTTAATAGGTACGGTATAGTATTTTTATTAAAAAATCTTAAAAGTATAATAAACGAAGTACATATATACTGTTATCTTATTAATATTATAATTGCGAAGGTTAGTAGTGATAGGTGGATGTTTGTTACTCTTTCATGCAAAAACTATTAAACGAATTTGAATGAAAATTTGGTTTACGGATAGGATATATCCAACTTAACGCATACTTTTTTTTTACAACAATGGGGGCAAACGAGCATGAGGCTCACCTGATAGTAAGTGACTACCGCCGCTCATGATCACCCACAACACGAAAGGCATTGCAGGTGTGCTGCCGACCTTTTAAAAAGGAATATGCTCTTTTCTTTAAGTTTATGATGTTGTATTGGTTCGGAAATAGTACGGAACGTGTATCAGTAAGTACATAAAGTAAGTAGACTTTATGTACTTACTGATACACGTGGCCAAAGTCGCTAGATGCAATCAGTTTTTGAATAAATTAGGAAGAACATTGTTTTGCTTTTTTATTTAATAAGGTGAGCTTCGTTTGCCAACGAAGAATAATAGGCAATCCAGTCTCAGTTAACTTTTGGCCTGATCTTCTTATGTTAGACCATCTGCATTTTGCGTATTACGTTTTACCATTCAGCTTTCATAATAAATGAGGGTACAGCACCAAAAACGGAAGTAATGGTGTGTACTCAAACCAACACGAAAAAATACTCTAGGCTGCCATTAATTTTCATTTTGCTCTATGACCGAGGATTGGTGTCTTAAGTGAAAGTGAGATACGAAAGTCATTTTATGTAGAGTAATAAATAGTTTTTCACCCTTTGAAGAAATGGTTTATTTAACAGCTTTCCTGAGCCTGTGTGAAAACGTCT